CTCCCACCTCTTTGACTTTTTTTCCATTCATCTCTCTGTCTTCTTCCTACATTATTAGGTTTCATGCCTCACCTTTATGTTCCAACTTTTCTATTAAATTTTTCATTTCTGTTATAATGTATTTCATTTTCAAGTATTCCCCCCCCATCTTGTTATCCTTTTCTTATATCCTGTATTCAGTATCTTCTCTTATCTCAGACTCCCATTGGGGGTTTTAACATTTGTTTTTCTTTATTGAGCTATAACCGACATATAACATTATGTTAGTTTCAGGTATACAACACTGTGACTTAATATGTGTATATACTATAAGTGATCACCACAATAAGTCTCATTAACATCCGTCACCACACAGAGTTGCAGTTTTCTTCTGTTAAGAACTTTTAAGATCTGTTCTCTTAGCAATTTTCAAATATACAATACAATGTTATGAGCTATAGTCACCATGCTGTATATTACATTCCATGACTTATTTGATAACTGGAAGTTTGTATGTTTTGACTGAGGGTTTGGTAGGGGGGTTTGAGCATTTTCTCCCTGCATATTCTTGGTTTCTCCAAGTTTCCTTCAAAATTAGTTGATCGTTCTGTTGTTGTTTCTTTATTTGTGTGGGTCTCAATCTTTCATGTTAGAGGCTTTCCTCAGATGTCTGTTGATCTTTGACTGCCTATTCATATTTAAGAAGGACAAACAAAAAACCTGACTGGAAGGTCTGAGCTACAGTGTAGGTGGGGTTGGCTGACTTTGAGTTTCACTGTAGAGGGATCTGTCTCATTTACTTGTGGAAAACATTAGGATCAGTATCTGAGGTCTTTCCACATGAACTCATCAGATTCCCTGGAGAAGATTCTTCCAATCTCTACCTGGAGAGTAGGCCACACTGTCAGCCTTCTGAGACCCTGGTAGGGAAGATGGAGGGTGGGGTGGGGGGGAGGCTGGGGGTGTCTCAGCTGTCAGCTGCATATGTTCACTTACTCCTTATTTTCAGTATAGGACTCATGCCCTCAAATGTGCCTGGTGTCCCTAAGCCCAGACACTTCCCATTTTTTACTCTCTAGAAAATTAACCTCTAGTTTTCTCCTGAGTGGAGAAGGGGCAGATGCCCAGCAGTGAGGAGAAGGGGGTGATCTAGGAATCTGGTTCTTTCTTAACCTTCAGCCGGTTCTCCTCATGTGAGCACTTAACTCCCTTCTCCTCCAGATCCAGAATATTTGGTCTTGCTACTCTCGGAGCCTCCTGGAGATTCTGCAATCCTGGGATTTGTTCTTGGCCTCTCCTACTGCCAACAGTCTACCTTCTTAGGCCTGCTCAGTCAATAACACTCGTACATCTGCTTTTCGGCTCCCAAAGCTTTGCTGCTACTCTGCTGTCTCCACTGTGTGGGTCTTTGTCTCCACCCCCTTCCCTCCTTCTCTCCTGCCCTCACTCCTCCCCCGCCTTCATTCTTTAGCAGTTTCTTTACTACAGTTTCATGGGGTTTCAAGGAAGAGAAAAAAATTGTAGTGGGTAAATTCAATCTTCCATCTTTTTCCAGAAATACTACTTACTATTTCTCTATCACAAAAGTAATACATTTTGCTTATAGAAAAATTAGAAAATCCAGATAACCAGAAAGCAAAAAAAAAAAAAAAAAATCATCTGGGGGTGCCTGGGTGGCTCAGGTGGTTAAGCATCCGACTTGGGCTCAGGTCATGATCTCTCAGTTCGTGGGTTCGAACCCCACGTGGGGCTCTGTGCTGACAGCTGGAGCCTGCCTCGGATTCTGTGTCTCCCTCTCTCTCTGCCCCTCCCCGCTCACGCTCTATCTCTCTCAAAAATAAAAAATTTTTTAAAGTCTTCTGTAATCCCACCATCCAGAAATAACCCACTGTTAACTTTTTTCCTTTCCCCGTTCTTGGAGGGGGTGTATTTTCTCATTCCTGCAACAAACATCGGCATGCTCCCTTGCATGCCTCCCTTGTGAGGCTCCAGGTATAAAACAGGAATATAAACATGGTTCCTGGCATCTCAAAGCTGAGGTCTGTCGAGGGAAGACAAGCAAACAAATCACTTCAGTAAAATGGGTCAAGTGTGGTTAGAGAAGTAATACAGGATTTTATGGAAGCACCAAGCAGGAATGCCAAATGTAGTTTTGGTTATGCCAGGAAGGGGCTAGAGAGAGCCCCGCACAGCCCAAGAACTGTAAAGTGCTCACTACTTAGTCACATGTCGTTATCAGCAGAGCTATGTAAGAAGCACAATACAACTGGCATTTTTCTCTTAACAACATTCCATGTGCAACTTTTTAACCACCATATGTCAACTTTTTAATACCCAAATACTATTCCACTGTATGCACGTCCCGCTATTCCTTTAACTGAATTATCCATCGGTGGTAACTGCCTTTGTTGCCCAGTGAAGATGAGATTTATTAAGATTAAAAGTTCAAAAATAAGCACCAAAAGATTTCAGGAGAGGTCTGGCTTAACGGCAACTTACACAGGGAAACACTAAAAAGCCCGAGAGGCTTTAACTGACTACAAACTAAGCCAGTCCACGGGGAGGTGACAGCCAAAACGGTTAACGCAGTCTTGGACAGCATTATCCTCAGTCAGCGTCCAGGAAAAGAAATGCGCCCTAAACATCTGGGGCAGCTACAATTGGTTCTGGACCTCAAATTCTTTTTTTTTTTTTTTTTTTTTTATTTTTTTTTCAACGTTTATTTATTTTTTTGGGACAGAGAGAGACAGAGCATGAACGGGGGAGGGGCAGAGAGAGAGGGAGACACAGAACCGGAAACAGGCTCCAGGCTCTGAGCCATCAGCCCAGAGCCTGACGCGGGGCTCGAACTCACGCGAGATCACGCGAGATCTCGCGAGATCGTGACCTGAGCTGAAGTCGGACGCTTAACCGACTGCGCCACCCAGGCGCCCCTCTGGACCTCAAATTCTAAGAGAGGACTTGAAAAATTCTAGGTTTGCTTTTCCAGCTTCTCTCCCTCCTTTCCCCCCGATGCTTCAGCCCTTCCAACGACTGATCCTGTGGGGCGAATGGCCACCTACCCCAACCGCATGCCGCTCTCCGGGACCATCACAAGCCCTTCTTATGCTGGGTGCCTGCACACCAGCCCCAGCAATAGGAGCCCACAGCTATTTTTGTAAACGAACCGTGCCCGTTCATTTACACGTTGCTTATGGCCACCCTCTAACTGCACGGACACAAGCGAGTGCTTGCGACAGACACTGCATGACCCACAAAGCCTAAGACCTGGCCCTCTGCAGAAGTGCTTGCCAGCCCCTGATCTCACCAGCATAGTTTTCGCCGACTACCCCCAAAACTCCTACCCATCCCTCCTTTCTTGGCACCCACGCCGTCCCTGGTACTTACTTCTATGAAGGCACTTACACATTTCAATGTAATTATTTGACAACCCTATCTCCCCTACTAATCTCTAAGGGACATGAGGGCAGGGGTCTTACCTTTTCCTTCTTTTTGTGGAAATGTGAGAGCCTTTCCCTTAAACCCTTAAACCGCCATCACTCCCCCCAGCCACAGCCTCTGGTATATCTGGAACAGACCTGCAGACTCAGAGAGAAGTTTTTGTCCTTTGTGGGTCCGGGGAGGCTGTGACATGTAACTCTGACCAGGAAGGGTGGAAAGGGCCAAGCGATTGGTTCAGGGTAAACACAGCCCACGTTAGGTAAACAAGAGGAAGCTGAATCTCTCACGCAGCCCAAAGAGTGTACTTTGAAAATATCTGTGCTATGACTTCCGCTTGGCTTCAGATCACTTCAGGGAAGCTGTACCTGATCCCAGAACGAAAGACCCTGCCACCCTTCCCTCCCCCTGCCTCTGCCAAGCCCCAGCAGAAAGGCCTGACATTGAGTAAAGAGCAAGCCAACACCAGGAGAGAAGTAATCTCACTGATAGGGGAAGGGGCTGGAGGGAAAAGCCCAAATGAGGAGGAATCCAGAGAGAAGGGGGTGTCAGACAGGAAGGAGGAGGAGCACCCCCCCCAAAGATTTGCAGGTGCCTGGAGATGACATACATTCCCTACCACCCCTCACCTCCCCTGTGGCTTTGGAGCCATCCCCTGGTCCCTCACAAAAAGAACGTGTAAATACAGCCAGAGGTCCCTATTCTCTGCAGGATCCGGAGTCTGGAAACCTCCGGCCCCTTACGTCTACACCCATCTCCAGCCCCTTGTTAAGGATGGTGGGACACACGCAGGTCTGACAACGAACCCTGGAGGGCTCTGCTCCTTGAAGACCATGCCCCACTTCCCACCCTTGGAGAAACAGGAAGGTCAACTTTTCCACCTCCCACTCGACCTTATCCTCAAGTGTGAGAAGAAACAGAGGCCTCTCTACGGTCATATTTGCATTCTCAGAAGTCAACAACATGCCTGCCTGCCACATGGCAGGCTCCCAAGAAGGGGGCCTTGGCTAAATGTCCGGCTCCCTCTAATTCTCCTTGAGGCAGACTTCAGCATGAAGAGAAAATACTTAGGAAGAACAAAGTGGCCTTTTCAGATATTTGAAAGGCTGTCTCATCAAAAAGCAGTTCGTTTTATTCTTTGAGATTTGGAAAGGCCAAGAGCCAACCAGGGGTAAGTCCTGTACTGAAGCCCTAAAATGAAGAGACAGGCTTCCCACTCAATATAAAAGATGAGAATGAGTGGATTACTTGGGAGGAACTGAGTTCCTCTTCCTGCAAATAGTCGAGCAGAAGCTAGAGGACCCCAGGAGAGTCACTGGGAGTGGTTTGTCCTGAGAAGAAATGTGACCTGGGATTTCCCCAGCCCCTTGTATTTCTTTCCTTTTTTCTAATTTTTTTAATGTTTATTTATGTTTGAGAGAGAGAGAGAGCGCACAAGCAGGGGAGGGGCAGAGAGAGAGAGGAGACACAGAATCCAAAACAGGCTTGAGGCTCCCAGCTGTCAACCCAGAGCCCGACGCAGGGCTCAAACTTGAGAATGGCGAGATCATGACCTGAGCCAAAGCCACCCAGGTGCCCCTATATTTCTAACCTTCTAACCATGAAATAAAGACGCACTACAGGCATGGAAATAGTATTTGCTTAACCACTGTATTTCACTTAACGTATGTCACAACTTTTAGTTTATTTTGAGTATTTCATCAAACCACAAAGATAATGGTTCATGGATGATGTTCTGACATCTATACTTTAAACAATAATGTTATCAATAAAAAATCTACTCAGACTGAGACCACAAAAGTTCACGAAATAGTTATCTTTAGTTTGGTCAACATATCAAATTATAGCAGTTGTAAACTTGAGTATATTTCTTTCAAACACCAAACTGGGTCCAAACAAAGGTAGTTGGTAATGTGTTTTGGGTAAAATAGATTATTCCAAAAATGATTTGAATAATCTTTGGTCAAACGCTATTGCAATAACTGTGAAAATTTTGTTGCATTGAGTGCTATAAGTTGCATGTGAAGAAGTTAAGTAGGGCAACAATTTCTAAAGTATTTGTCTAATTCCTCTCTCCTAAATAGCTCGTGGTTTTGCTTTTTTTATTATTATGATTGACAATAAATTCATACCTCACCTCTGTAGAGTTCTTTCCATTTTTCAAAACATGTTGACATTTATGATTTTGTTTTCCTTCTCACAATATACCTGGGAGATAGGCGGTGTGCCCGAAAGGTCTGGTTCCACCTGGTTTCAACACAACTAGAATTATCTGCTGAGCTCCTGGCTATGCAGCGGGACAATAAGTCCCAGGCTCCTTACACCACGTGACTGAATTCTGCCAACGCAATGTGAGTAGAGAGGACGGTACAGCCTCCAGGTGGGGCACTTACACAGCCACATTCTTCCCCTTCCCCTCTTTCTTTGTCACTGGATGAAATGCGGGTATCATTTGCCCTGGAAATGCACAAAGGTCATGCACCTATCTGGGCAGGAATTTTTTCCCTGTTCTTCCTCACGGTTTTAAACTCCTCCCCAGACACTGTGTGAGAAAACAGACTTTAAGTATTCAATTGAGAAGAGAGAAAAAAAGGACATACATACTGAAATAAGTAGAGATGATTTTACATCTGCATTTATTCCTTCATTAAAAATTATATCGATCGTATTCTTCTGTGAAGTTAGCACTAAAAATTGAAAAATAAATATGATCTTACAGTCTGGGACCTCAAGGAGTCACAAATGAGTAAAACAATCCACTCTTCCTGTTGTTAGCACGTAACGGAAATATCAGCGTGGAGTCTTCGAAGGCTAAATAACAGTTTATCCCAAGATGGAGGGGCAAAGAAGTAGAGTGATCCTTCAGATTGACTTTGTACCAAGACGGAGCATACAAAAGGTAGACGATGCTTCTCTGTGTAAGTACGAGTGACAAGTGTAATTTAGTAGTTTCTGAGGAGGTGTGGACCCTGGAGGACTCACTAACACTGTGTATTGTTACTCATCCACTCTTTGTTTCTTGTCCTCCCATTAAGCATGTATTCTATTCTCCTCCTACACCTAAACTTTCCCCGGTGCCTTGAAAAGATGACACTCATGGAAAGAAAGGCACATTTTGTACAAGTTAATTATAATAAAATTCTGGCTTAGAGCAACCATATTGTCTGAACACTTAATAGAACTCATAAGACTTCTATATGCCAAAGTCATGACTAACTCCACAGCCAGGTACACAGTTGAACATTCATTCACTTTGTACTTAAGAAGTACACGTGGACATTATTTGAAGGTTGAGTAGTTTGTACTTTTCCTCTTTTTTATTAACACTGTTAAACATTGCTACCATTTTGAAATTATTTGAAATTATTATAGTCCTTTTTCTATTCTTAAAATTCTTCTTGGACTTGACTGTAACCTTTAAAAAAAACCACCGTGTTCAGTCAGCTATTCAAAGAAGAGTGAGTCAAGCTCTTTGGGAGAGATTTTTAACTATTTATGATTAAACACACTAAGGAATTCAGCAGTATTCTATAAAATACTTTAACGTTCAACCCAGTTGATTATTCCATCTATGCACCAAATGTATTTCAGTGAGAGGAAAATTGGTAAAGTGCCTCCCAAAAGTACGTGGCATATATAATTTGAGCATGTATCTGCCAGATAAATTGCCTCCACTATTACTTGGGAAATGAAAACTCAACTAGACGACAAAGCTACTTCAACACGCTACTAAAGCCAGCCAGGAGATTTCCCCCACCTCCAATTCTGGAAACTTCTTCATAATATTGCATAGGGACTATAGTTTTTAATTGTTTGGTAATCTTTACAATGGAATTGTAAATCTGATGAACCTTAAATTTTTACTGAAAATGTCACGTTCTGCCCCATTATGCTTGCCGATCTTCTACACAGTTAGGATTTGGCACTCCTCGTCCCATTGGAGAGTGGCTAGAAAGACTGACAAAGACAGAAAATCCTAGGAGCATCAGATTATAGAGGCAAAGTCAGGCTATTAAATGGCCAGGAGCACTCACTGAGCACCTACCAAGGACAAGATGGCACTTTAGGAGAGATCAAGTGAATATGACTTCCTTACTTAAGGAATTGCCCAGCCAGTGGGGCAGTGAAAGGAGGAAATGGTCACATGAAGGAGGCGTGTGGTAGAAGGCATCAGAAATGAGGCACGGTGGGGTTCCAGGGAAGGAAGATACGGCATTCGGGTGTGGAACCAAAGGGAAGACCAGTTCAAATGTGAACTGGGTTCTTCAAGGAAAGGTGGGATTTTAATAAATGAGGGACTTTGTCTTGCTCACACAGGACGATATCCTTGAGAATGTCCATCAGGAAACACCACAGGGCGCAAGGGCATCAGCAAGGGCATCAGCTACGAGTCTATTCCAATTATCCAGGCAGAATCTGACAGGGACTTGGATCTGTAGCTCCAGATAGAAGGAGAAGTGGTTGGATTCTGGGTACGTTTTGAAGGTAGGTAGGGCAGTAGGATCTGTTGATAGATTGCAAGTAAGATGTGAGAGAAAGGGAAGAGTTAAGGCTTGGGGCCCGACCAACTGAAAGTTCAGAGTTGCCGTAACGGGTATGGGAAGCACAGGACCGTCTGGAGCTCAGAGCACAAGTTCTGGCTGGAGACCCCAAACTTGGAGTCATCAGGATCTAGAGCATTCAAAGAGTTCACCTGGAGTGAATCTAGAGAAAAGGTGCCATGATGGAGCCCTGGGCCCTCCAATATCTAGAGGCAAGGTGAGGAGGACACGGAAATCTCCAGTGAGCTGAGAGGGGAAGCAAGGGAGTCAAGTTGAGGAAGTGTGTCAAGAAAGAGAACAGTGTCTAGACAAATGCTGCAGACAGATCGGCTAAGATGTGAGCTTTGATGTTAATGCATAGCCTGCTCGACGCCAATCATGTCTGTACCAGCCATTAGCATCCCAAGTATTCTCGCCTAGTCCCACGTCCTAAGTGAAAGAAAGTGTCTTTTTCCACAGGTTCCCTGTACAAACATTTGCAAGACTCCCACATGGGAGGCCCACGCGTACCTTCAGCTCGATCCTGGCCCTCTCAGAAACCCATGGGCAGAATAAAAACTCAGAGGCACTGCTGGGGCCAGAACCCCAACTACAGGCCTCAATGCTAGTTTCTCAGGGGACATCAGGAGCTGTGAAGGTATAGCAGTCTCTCTACAAGTCACAGAGAAAAGGTGTGTCCTCTTTCTGGGTTATACTCAGATGAGCAAAACAACCCGGGGTCCTAGAGCTCTCTGGGGAAAACCTTTTAGCTCTGTTTCTCCCAGTCTCTGACTCTGGTTCTCTTTTAAACACACACACACACACACACACACACACACACACACACATTTTTTCAAGGTTTATCTCAGTACCAGGAACCCAAAAGAATATGGAGACTTCCATTTTGAGCAGAACCCTCCATTATTCAACCTGCTGTTTGTCTGACCTGCCTCCTGTCCTCCAGGCCATCAGACAATGATTCTTGAACTCGGGGTTAGCGCAGGGGTGAGGGTGGGCGGCTAGGAGAGAAGGTTGGTTCAAATCCCCAGTCTCCCCAGGGTGGGGGGGGGGGTCTCTTTAGTCTGCAAATTAGTGGAAGCACACAATGGGGCAGGGAAGGGGTGCTGGCCACTTTGCTTCTTCACCAGCATCAGATCCCCAAATGCAAAAGAATATGCTAGGGGCTTAGTGGCCTTAACAGCAATATCTAAGCCCTGGCTGAAATGTTCTATTACCCATATATGCACAGTATGTCTTACCTTTTCAAATAAGGTCCAAACTTCCCTACCTTCCTGTCCCTAACACAGCCACCAAGAAAGAACATTGAAAACACAATGAAAATATCTCATATGAAAAAACTAAGCTATTGTTTTTGATAACGACAAGTTACCTCTTCATAGTATGTAAGAATGGCTACATTCCAAACCAAGGAAATTTGAAAGCAAAATTAATATTTTACAGCTACTAGCATTTTGTTTGCAGCCTCAGCAAAACCAAACGTCCACCTGTTAACTAATTTCTTATGAATACAAAGTCCACTGTGTTTCTGGGAAGGATGGTTAGTGTTTGTCAAGTTTTTTTGTGTGTAAAGACACAAAAATATAACTGGAAAGTTAATCAGAGGGCCAAGAGTGGGAACAAGGATCAAAAAAAAGCATGTTTACCATTTCAAATACCAGTCTACTAGAAAGCTCCTTCAGTCCCCAGTCCTGATTTTATACGTGAAAGGATCATGTAAGTCACTGCAATAAAAACTGATGACTTTTTGTATACATACAGAGTTTAATACATGCACTCTAAAAATAGAACTTGTATGATTTAAATCTAAAGTAGTGATTTTGCAGGAATGGTCTATCGGACCCTCCAGCTGGTCTACAAATTTCTTGTTTGTTTCTGGTATGAACTAAAATTTGCTTATGCTCTCTTCAAAAGAGGGACCACTTCTTCCCATACCTTTTCTATCACCAACAATGAACACGTGGTATTTAAGGTATTTTGGTTCCTTAAAGAATTGACAGACTGATAAAGTTTCTTACTATTGCTCTAAAGTATCTTAACGAGAAGAATATGTATCAATCTGAAATCACAATTTTGTTGTCAAACAAATCCAACATTCTTCTATGCCCCGTGGTAGCACACAGGAGCTGACATACAATCTTATTTAGCCATTGTTCCAACATTACCAGGAGCTCAGAGTGCTTAGTCACCTCAACAACCCAGTCCTGTTCTGCCTCAGTGGCTTCCATGAAAAGTGTGTAGAAGTGGTTTTCATCTTGAATTTGTTCAAAATCTGTGGCTTAATTCTCAATTTAAAATAGGTCTTCCGTAAGCCCACTAGTCACCAAAATAGAGTACGAGAAGTCAGACATATAAACACTTTTATTAAAATGTTTGCACATATACAGAAAAAAAAAACTCTTTCTCTCGTGGTATAAAACTCTGTACAAAATGTGCCAACGACTGACATTATCATAAAGGAACCCTCAAATCAGTGGGACCTAATCTTGAGCACTGAGTGAAGAACTAGGAAGAAGAACTGAGAGACAACCTGATCGTGGCATATCAAGAACTCCTGCCGTCAGGATGTACTAAGCCTTCTGCACAAGGGTGTCAAAATCAATTGCGTCAGGCTAAGGATCATCTCATCACCAAGGAGTCCTCTGAACTGGAGAAAGGATCTTGGGAATACTGTTGTTGTAGGGCACAATCTAGATCATCCTGTAGTTGCTTCTGTATTTTTATGGCTATAGCCCTGTTTAAGATTGTCCAAAGGGTCTTCACTGCCCTGATGATTAGTATGGTTGATGGACGCAGTTCTGCCTGCCATAGAAAGAACTTCCAAAGACAGTTTAAGCTCAGTTCTCCAGGAGATGCCCTTTTGAGACCTTTGCATCTGCTGCACTGTGAACATGGGTCTCTCTCTCTGTCTCTCTCTCTGTCACACACACACACACACACACACACACACACACCCCACAGATCTTACTGGAGTAACACTGAACCCATGACATCTCCATAAACTCTAGCAGAGGCTAATGCCACCTGTTCGGCTTCCTAACAAACCTGTTTCTTTCATCCACCCTCCTCACTCTCCCCTTAGCTACTATTGGGAAATCGTCCCCTCCTTACCTCTAGGGATTCCCATACACCCAGAGAAAGGAACTTTCCTTTTTCTCTCCCCGTTCCCAAATACCTGGCTTCCCAGGAAAGCCCCAGCTGCTCAGCTCCGCCCCCCCCCCCCAAGATGCCAACCCTAGGTGACTTCAGGAATGTGTTCAAATGGAACTTCCTCTAGGCTGAAGGCTCGGCCCCCACTCGCCCCTGGCATCTCCAGAGGCCCTCTCCCCGCGTGGCCCTCTGCCCGGCCCCTCGAACTCACCAGGAGGAGGTTGTGCGCCACCAGGTACCCGAGCCGCGCGCTGCCCCGGACGCCAGGGGCCAGGCGCCCGGTGGCATAGCCGTGCCAGGCCACCACGTAGGGGTTGTCGATGGTGATCCAGTACTTGACCTGGCCGCCGAAGTGGCGGAAGCAGAGCTCGGCGTAATCCCTGAAGTGGTCGGCCAGGGCGCGGTTGGCCCAGCCGCCGTAGGCGTCCTGCAGGCGCTGGGGCAGGTCCCAGTGGTACAGGGTGACCACAGGCTGCACGCCCAGCTCCCGCAGCCGCTCCAGCAGGCGCCGGTAGTAGCGCAGCCCCTCGCGGTTGGGGGCGCCCGCGCTGCCATTGGGGAGCACCCGCGCCCACGAGATGGAGAAGCGGTAGTGGGTGACCCCGAGCTCGCGCAGCCCCTCCGTGTCGCGGAAGACGTTGTTGTAGCCGTCGCTGGCCACGTCCCCGGTAGCGGGCGGGGACGGCGACGGGGCGCCCGACGGCGGGCGGGCTACCGGGGGGGCGCCGGCGGGCGCCGGGGGGTGGTGGGTGAACGTGTCCCAGATGGACGCGCCCTTGCCGTGCTGCCGCCAGCCGCCCTCCGTCTGGTAGGCGGCGCTGCCCACGGCCCAGAGGAAGCCGTCGGGGAAGGTGTCGTGGAGGAGGCCGGCGGCCTCGGGGGCCGGAGGCTGCGCGAAGCGGGCCCAGGTCTG